TTATAAAAGTGATACAATTTTGTGGCTCATAAATGTTTAATTACTTGATTTGAACAGGGGAATGAAAAAAAGCCCAGCAAGACAGGCCTGGCTTTTAAGATTTTTTATATTCAATTCGTTCTACTTTCACATCATCTCCAATTAGCTGATACACGTAAGTGACAACTGTAGAAGCCTGGATGTCCATTAACACAAATGAAGGAATAATGTTTGTTTCCAAGGCATTATATGCTCCAGTGGCAGAACCTGGCTTAATGTAGAATTTATTTTCACGCTCAAATGCTTCAAATTTGTGTGTGTGTCCTGAGATAAGAATGTCCACATCAAACTGCCTCTGCAACAGGGCTAAGCTGGCCATATCTCCCCATGGAATAACTTGATGCCCATGGATCAAACCAATTTTGAACTGCCCAACAGTCACAACTTTCTGTTCTGGATAATTCAGATTCTCATCGAAGTCTCCTCTCACAATATGAACATCACCGGCCAGAGTCTTCAGATAGTCATAACTCTCTTTGGTGCAAAGGTTTCCAGTACAGAGAATGTGCTGAATCTTTCCCGGCACGAGCAGTTTTTTGAATTTAGCGGGCAAACTGTTGCACCGGTGTGGGATGTGCAGGTCTCCTAACACCAACACCAACATCCTGTCACTGGGCTCCGCTCAGTCACCACCACCGCCTTCTTCCTCGGGCTCCTCGGCGCCCCCTTCCCTGTCTCTTTTATCTGGCTCTGTTCTTCCTCATGCTTTAATATACTTGCACCTCATTTCATGAAGGACTCAAGGTGGCGTCTTTGTCACTTGCGTCCCTTCCTCACTCAGTCCCCATACCCCAGTTTCTCACAGGTGCTTTCTCTCTCCACACAGTTAATGAATTTGGTATATGGAAAGGGGAGTTCTGACTCCTTTAGAAAAGTGATGTCCTCTCCCTCACAGGAAGTGGGGCCCTTCAGGGCCCACAGCAGGTCGCCAGCCCCTCCCTACCAAGGCCAGATGTGAGAGGGCTGGGGGCAGAGGGCACAGAGAAAAGGCCACTCTGAACCCGATGCCACTGCATCCAGCACTGGTCAGGAGCCTCAGCACCTTTAACCCAGGCCCCTGTGGCACTGATGGGGCAGTCCCACAGAAGAATTGTGAACCTTTCTCCTGAACCCTCCCCCACCGCATCTTCCCTTCTAGAAACTTGAGCCTCATCTAGGGTGTCTTGGGCATAGGCTTCCCTTGTCCCTCACTACAGGGCTCCAGTGTGTCCAGCTTGGGCTGGGAAGGGGTCAGTTGGGGAAGGTGAAGCCTTGAAGTGGTGGCACCTGACCCTACTGCTCCTCTTCCAGCCCCTCTCCTTCACCTGATGCCTCCCTGGACCTCAGAGCTTCCATAAGCTTGGGATCCCGGCCAAGCCCCTGGAGCATCCCCCCAGGCAGCCTGTGGGCTCTTGGAAGGCAGGATTGATCCCTTTTGGGTCTCCTAGAGTCCACAGGTGGCTAGTCACGGCACGGGACCCTGGGAAGGAAGTCCACGACTCATCCATCGGTGATGAGCGCCTATGGCCCTGTGCTGCCCACCAAACTCCTGCCCACCTCCCGGCCACGGGGGCACTAGCCAGCATGGGCTTCCACGGCCACCAGCAGGGAACTGCTCTGGGCGCGGCCAGCCCAAGCGGGGCCCTGGAGAGCCTGAGGCCAGGAGAACCACGAGACCGCAAGGGCCTTGGGCAGAGCCCACCCCTGCCCGGAACGCCTGCGTCGCCTGCCTGAGACCGCTCCGTCCCACCGCGCCGCCTGCCGCCCGCCGACTGCTGGCTGGCGCAATGGGCACGGGCCGTCAGGGGCGCAGGAGTCCTCCCCGGGAGGGAGGCCCCGTTCCGCTGCCCGCCCCTGCCTCCCATCCCCCCC